ACTGTTTAGTGGATTCTTTTATTATCTATTATAATCGTTAGTACAATATGTAAGATCTCACCAAGTTCTCTCATTACGTACCATTATTTTTAAAGAAACTTATGTGTGAGTCTTAGCAAATATTTAAATTACATTGCCAATATTAAGTTTAAATACCTCCTTATTAAGCAGTTTTAATCCTTTGAGGTAATATGTGGTATATAAGTTACTAGACTTTCGTAGTATTACAAACCAAACTAACCCCCTCAATTGTTCTAGATTTAAACTTAAAATAATAATAATAATAATAATAATAATAATAATAAATCTGAGACATAGCCGCAATTTTTTTATTCTTTTATAACGGAGGTTCTACTGAAGGTTTCACCCATGAAGGGTGATATGAGATTAGCAAAGAAGGACAAGTTGAGTCCTCGGTTCATTGAGCCTTTTGAGGTGCTTCGGAGGATTGGGGAGGCGGCTTATGAGCTTGCGTTGCCACCTAGCTTGTCGGGCGTGCATCCGGTATTTCATGTTTCTATGCTCCAAAATATATCGGCGATCTGTCTCATGTTTTGGATTTCAGCATAGTTCAGTTAGATGGTGATTTGACATATGATGTTGAGCCAGTGGCTATTTTGGAGCGATATGTCTGAAAGTTGAGATCAAAGGATATAGCTTCAGTGAAAGTGAAGTGGAGAGGTCGGCCCATGGAGGAGGCTACTTGGGAGACCGAGCGGGAGATGCGGAGTAGATATCCACACCTATTTGAGGCTTCATGTATGTTTCTAGACTCGTTCGAGGACGAACGTTTGTTTAAGAAGGGGAGGATGTAATGACACAACCGGTCGTTTCGAGAGTTATAGCCTCATTCCCCCATTTTCTGCTTCATTTTGTGTTCTTAAACTATATTTGATCGTATCGCGTTAGTTGGTTCGGGTTCAGAATGGTTTTGGAGAGAATTGAGACACTTAGTCTCTTTTGAGAAGGCTTAAGTTGGAAAAGTTGACTGGATGTTGATTTATGAGTAAACGACCTCGGATTTGTATTTTGATGGTTTCCTTTGCTCCATCAGGTGATTTTGAACATAGAATTGTGTCCGGAATGTGATTTGGAAGTCCGTGGTAGAATTAGGCATGAATTGGCAAAAGTTGGAAATTTAGCGATTTTGGTCGGCAGTGAAAAATTTGATATCGGGGTCAGAATGAAATTCTGGAAGTTGGAGTAGGTGTATAGTGTCATTTGTGACGTTTGTGCAAAATTTGGGGTCATTCGGACGCGATTGATAGGTTTCGGCGTCGTTTGTGAAATTTGGAAATTTAGATGTTCTTAGGCTTGAATCCGAGGTTAATTTGGTGTATTGATGTTGTTTTGAGAGATTAGAAGGTTCGACTAAGTCTGAATGATGTTATGGGATGTGTTGGTATGTTTGGTTGAGGTTCCGAGGGCCTCGGATGAGTTTCGGGTGGTTAACGGATCAACCCTTGGCTTTAAAAGTTAGCAGATTTCTGGTCTTAGCTATATATGGAGTAGGAAGTGCGGACAACACAAAATTGGTGCGGACCGCAGTGGTATTTTGTGGAAGCGGTGGAAATTGTGCGGGCCGCGGAAGAGAGAATGTGGCCACGGTTGATTTTATGCGGACCTCGGAAGGTATAGCTCGGGGTCCGCGACCGCGGCAGAATTATGCGGACCGCAAAGTGAAGGTTCAGAGAGCATTATATAAGTGAGGTTTAGGGTTTTATTTCATATATTGAACTTTGGGAGCTCGGTTTGAGGCGAATTTTTGGGAGTTTTTCAAGGAAATCATCTGGGTAAATAATTCTAGCTTGGTTTTGGCTAATATTTATGAATATATCATTGAATTCATCATTTGGATCGTGATTTGGGGTGGAATTTGGGGAAAATTGGTGGAGTTTCATAAAATGAATTTTTGGGAATTGAAAGCCTATTTGAGGTGGGATTTGAGTGAAACTAGTATGGTTATAATCGAATGTATTGTCGGATTTTGCAACTTTTGTCGAATTTCGAGACGTGGGCCTAAGGCCTGGCTTTTGAGTTGGCTTTTTGACTTTTGATCTAAAGCTTAGCATTTTCTTATGGGATTGATTTCTTTAGCTCGTGTTGATTGTATCGAATTGTTTGTGGTTAGATTCGAGGCATTTGGACACCGGTTTGAGAGGCAAGGGCATTGCGGAATAGGGATTTGACCGGTTTGAGGTAAGTAATGATTTTAAATATAGTCCTGAGGGTATGAAACCCTAGAATTCGTACCGTTTTACTATTTTGAGGTGACACGCATTCTAGGTGACGGGAGTGCATCGTTGGGGGTTGTGACTTGGTCCGTCCCGTAGCAACTATAAGTTGTGTATTTGGTTGAAATTATATGATACTTATGTGTTTCAGAAAGAATTTCTGTAAATTGGGCTGGATGCCATATTTGGGCCTCGTGCTAGAGCTGTTTGGGCTCTTAAGGGACTTTTTCTTGTTATCCACTCACTGTTTTTGGTTGAAAATCTATACTCACTATTGTTACACTTATTGATCTCATAACTCGGTCTTTATTACTCTGTTTTGATGCATATAAACTATTGTTTTGGGCCGAGTACCCTATTTTTACTGAGAGCTCGAGTGGCTTGAGAGGTTTATGACTGAGTGAGGCCGAGGGCTTGATTTGTAAAGATATTTATTGGATCAGGATGAACGCCGCAACATGTTGTTACTGATTCATGATTTTGTGAGGTAGGGGGCCTGATTGATTTATCCACGAGGGGATTTGTTATAGCGCTTGGGCTGAATGAGCCCTTCCGAAGTCTGCACACCCCAATGAGTGCGGGTACCCTGAGTGAGTGATATGAGATATGCCCGAGGGGCTGTATACGAGTGACTGTGAGGTTTGCCTGAGGGGTTGTATATGAGTGATGTTCTGCCCGCGGGGCGGCTTTATGAGTGATGTTTTGACCGATAGGTTGTTTATGTATGCATCATTTTTGCTTGCTGTTACTCTGAGCCTCTGTTTGAGAACTGTTGAAAAATATCTTCAAATGATTTTACTGAAATTGAGTTTAAACGAAATGATTTGATTAAATCTTTGCTTTTAAAAGTCTGTTATATTTTTATTGAGATTTTCTGATATTCACTTATTATGATTTATTGCTCGTCACTACTGCTCTGTCTTTATTTACTGTTATTACTTACTGAGTTGGCGTACTCACATTACTCCTTGCACCTTGTGTGTAGATCCAGGGGTTACTGAACGTGCTAGAGAGTGTTAATTCATCCGTCGCGAGATCTATTGGAGTAGCAAGGTAGTTGCATGGCGATCCCAGCCCTGTTCTTCTCCCTCCTATCCTCCTATAGATGTTTATTATTTATTTTCCAGACTGTATTAGTCTAAATATTATTGGACAATTTTTAGTAGATGGTCATGACTAGTGGTACCTCGATGTTGGGCTTTCTTTTCCGCACTTTTGTTTTTTATTTACACTCCTTATGAAGGTTCTATATTAAATAGCTTTGGAAATTATCTTGAAAATGAAAATCTTGTTTTGTTTTGGTTATGTGTCGGCTTGCCTAGTACCACGATAGGCGTCATCACAACAGGGATGGTTTTGCGGTCGTGATAGTAAAGTGACGAGTGCGTACATGGGCTATTATTATAAAACTCCGTCTTTCACTAAGTAATATTCTGTTTTACTTTAATTGAGTTATACTAGCATGTGTAATTATCCTATTTAGCCTAAAATAGCATGTCTAAGTCGCTTAAATGCTTATCTGAACTCTGTGCAGCATGCTTAATGGATTTCCTGCTTCTTCCTTGACTTATACTTAGTTTAAAATGTAGGATTTCGTGCTATAGCTATTATTCTCATACATATTTACTTTGGGACACGGTATCTTGGGAGATCCCCCCTGCACATTTACTTTTGGGACTACAGAACGGTATTCTGGGAGATTCCCGTGCATATTTACTTTGGGACTACGAGACGGTATCCCAGGAGATCCCCCTGACATTTACTTTTGAGACTACAAAACGGTATCTCGGGAGATCCCCTGTGGTTATTACTGTACACTATACTGTTATCCTTGTGTAATTTCCTTCTGGTTAAATTTCAGTCTTTTATATTACTGTGATATTTTTCTTCCATCTTATTTTATATATATATACACCAGTAGGGCCTTACTTGACCTCGTCACTACTCGACCGAGGTTAGGCTTGGCACTTACTGGGTACCGTTTTGGTGTACTCATGCTACTTTTATGCACATATTTTCGTGTGTAGATATAGGTACTTCTTAACAACCACGTCATCAGTGAGCAGCAACAGTTTGAGACTTCAAGGTATATTTGTCGCGTCCGCAGACCTTGGAGTCCCCCTCTATTCTCTACTATGTCTATTATCTCGTGTACTTCTTTTGTTAGACTCTGATATATAGAGACACTAGTTTTCCTTTTGTAGTTTGTGACTCATGATGTTTCGGGTTTTGGAAAGACTGTGTAATATTGAGGAGTTGGTTATTGTACATGCCGAGCGGCATAGTTTTCAGTTATGTTATTATTAATGTAGTTAGTTGTGAGTTTTCCTTTTGTTCCTGTTATTTCTGTAACTGTTTAGGCTTACCTAGTCGTAGAGACTAGGTGCCTTCATGACGTCTTGCGGAGGGATAATTGGATCGTGACAACTACCTTTCTCAGACCCCACAGTGTGGGATAATATTGAGAATGTTATTGTTGTTCACAAAGAATGAGAGCTTAACTCTAAAGGATAGGGACCTTGAGAAAAAATGTAGATACAAAACCTCAATTGAAGGAAAGTAAAGTGTCCAAGTTAGGGATTATATCCTACTCCAATATAAATTCTCAATGTAATATAAAAATTTAAAAGTACTAAAATAATTAAAAAAGACTAAAAGATTTATCGATATACCCTTCGTCGTACCAAAACTAAAACTTATTATATAAGTAAAATCCATTAAATATGTATAAATATTTAATTACATATACAGTAACAAAAATGAACTATGGATCCGGATAAGACAAATCCTGACTTCGCCTCTGCCCTAGTTTCTTTTAACCAAGGAAACACTGACATTTATGAACATAATCTTCTCTTTTTCCATGCAATTATTTGCAGTGATCTCTCTATAATAGTGGAATACTTGATCCACATTCAATTCATCACCAAAATGGCTGACAAGCAAAGGTTCAGCCACAGATCTAAAACTTTGTATCATATTATACTTCTCATCAGAAGAATCATTCCTTTGGATTTCTGAAGTTTCCGAGCTATTAATGGCAAAAGATCCTTCCTTCTCAACTACACACATCACTTCTGCAGGAGATGGATTGTATGCAGGAATGTTGAATGCATCCATTTTTTCCTCTTCTATTGATCCCTGCATTCATTATTTTATTTAGTAGAATTAACCCGATTAACCACTCACTCAATCGTTTAAATTAAAAATATTTGCCGCATGTATAATATATATATATATATAATATGTGCATAATCGTGTATATTAATCTATGCATATGGCTAGTAAAAAAGTAAACAATGAATATGACCGGCTACTTGTGTAAAGTTTTAACTTCTATATACAGTCAGACCTCTCTATACCAACATCCATATATAACAACACTTCACTATAAAAGTGAAGCTTTTTTGGAGCCAATTTTTATGTTATGTTATAATATATGTTCTCTATAACAGCACATCGTTATAACATTCAAAAATATTCGGAACAAATGACGTTGTTGTAGAGAAGTTTGGTTGTATATACATGCACACACTTCAAGTACAGTAAAAAGAGTTTTAACTTTTTCTTTTCTTTTTCGTTTTAAATGCTTTTCTTGTTTTAATGTATAGATTGATCCATCTCATGTTGAATTAACGCTATTAGGAATAAAAAAGAGTGGTATTTTTACTTAATTTTTATTTGTATTTTATAACGAAAAGGTTAATTACTTAATCTTGCCTAAATTATTGTAGTTACAATATTATATTCACTTTCACCGTCAGGGGCGGCTAGATAAAATTGGTGACCGGTCTAATGTGCTTAATTTATGTGATAGTTAACATTGAGTAATTTTTTATGCCAATTTTTTTTGGGTGATAATTAAGTAAAGTTAAATTTATAAGTAAATCTTCTTAAAATGTGAAACTTGTAATCTTGAATATGAAATATGTTACCTGTTACAACGAGTAAATACAACTTGATAGTGTAAAAAATTTCTTACACCGATGATTTTGAGGACCGTGGCTAAAAGCTCCCATTCGTCGGAACACCCTTTGCAAAAGAGATCTTCATTTTTTCTGCCCAACATTGTCAATATCATACGCCCGTTTTGCACCAATTCCTTCGACCGGTGCTTTAAAAAAGTTGCAAAATCTCTTTCAAATTGCTCATAATACGCTTTAATCACACTTGCTGAACTTGTACTGGTCAAGCAAATATTTCCCTTGTTATTCTCTATTCCATCAGGCACCTATAACCAACAATTTAAGATAATACAATTGATAATAAGAGAGACATTTGAAGATGTTATAATATATTATACCACCGAAAAGTTATGTGAAGTGATAAGTATTCATTCATCCTTATCCGGGGAAGAGCCGGACCACAAGGGTCTATTGTAATACAGCATTACCCTGCATTTCTGCAAGGGACTTTTGATCATATGACAATAACTTTATCAGCTATATGCCAAAGCTCTCCTTATGCATATATTGGATAGAATAAAGATAAATGGGAAACATACTTGAGAAAGCCAGTGGAGACTGTAAGAAGAGTGGACAAAGTGCAGACTCTTGGAAGGAAAAAGTCTATTATAGAATGAACCAGCAACTCCTGAGACAAAACAATTATTTGGATCAAATTCATCTTCTATTATGTTCTTCTTCCTCAAATCATCATAGAATTCCGGCATCAATGACCGAAAAATGGTATTAAAATCGTTCCCCGAAAGATCATTCAAGAAATCATGAAATTCCGGTAGCTGCTGTTGTTGGCCGTTGCTTTTGCATTCTTCGCAAATAACTCTAATAAGTTGGGTGACCACCAAGAAAGTATTAGGTCCAGAGGAACAATCTAAGTCCGCAATACAAATGGTTTCTGGGGAAAGGCTGCGGTAGAGTGCAGATATGGCTTTATCTCTTATTGTCTTTGTCATGAGGATCACCTTTTGCTGTAAATAAAAGAAAATGAGTTTAATTTTTTATGCACTTACAGTATAAAAGAATTCAGACGTGCAGGGGTGGAGGTAGTGTGGTAGCTACGGATTTGATCGAACACAGTAGCTTTTGCTTAAACTTTCTATTTGTATTGAAAAAATTATTAAATATATAAAAGTATTTAATTGCGAATCCAAATAGCTAAAGCGAGCTAAGGTTTGATGACAAGATTAGAGCCCATAACTTTAAAATCTTGGCTCCGCCTCTGCAGACACGTATTTTCTATGGAATATGTGCTCGCCGAAATTGTTTCTACGCCTATATGTGTAGGATTTCTATAGTATAAGGGGTGTAGGCAGAGGCGGGCCTATGTGTAAGCTTGAGGGATCATCGGATTCCGTGAACATCGGCAGGAATCTTGTATATGTAGTTGTGTATACCTTAAAAATGATTAATTTAAATCATTTGACATCCTTTAGGGGGCACCGGTTGAGCAGAATATTGGTACTCCTGCCACATTAATATCCTAGATTCGCCTTTGGTGTCAATGTTTTAAAAGTGAGGGCGTAAGGCGGGGCATTTTACTAACATGGGGCGAGGCGTAAGCCCCGAGATATGGGACATAAGCCGTATAGATCTTTACATTTTTTAATATATAAATTAATAAAATAGCAAAATAACAAAAATATAAAATATACTAAAAGTTTAAGAAAATTATAAGAGATTAAAAAAACTAATAAAAATAAAATATCAAGCATTTTTATAAGCACAAATAATAAAAAAGTGTTATAAAGAATTTTGAGGGTCAACAATGCTAATTAGGTAATTAATCGCATAATTTACGTTAGGAAAGGTTAGACGAGCCCCAAAGTAGAGCATTAGGTGCATTTCAGGCACACATTCGGTCGTTTGAGGTGTAAGTCTCACAGAACTAAGCCCTACACGTGAGCCTCAGAATATTTTGATAGTGCATCACCCCAGAACAAGCCCCGACTCAAGTCCCAAATATGCCTTTAAAACATGGGCTCAGGGAAGTGTCATATGAAATGAAATAAAGAAATTATAATTGAGAGTTTATAACCTCAGTGGGGAAATAAAAATTTGTGTAATTATATTATACGTGAAGCAAAGAATTTTTGGCATAGCTAGCCTCTCCAATTCCTTCATTCATGTGAAGAACTTTGGCAACTTCCATTTCTTGGATATTTCTGTATTGTACGAATATAGTATTTTTGGCTAGGCAAATTAAAGTTCCAATGGGGGTATCACTTATTTATAGATGAGTGATACCAAAATTATCCTTGAAATTCCAACATTGTCCCTCACAAGCCAATTAAGCTAGCGTTTGGACTTTGGACATAGAATTAGTTGAAACTTAAAAAGGAAAGAGTTTTTGAAGATAAGATGAAAAATTATTTTTGAAAGTGTGTTTGGACATGCATTTTACTTGAAAAGAATTTGAAGGTTTGTGAGTAAAAAATTTCAATAACTTCAAAACTACTCAGAGAGTTATTTTTTTGGGATTTGAAGACTTTATTTTCAAAATTTGGCAAAAAATAGTTAAAATCTATAAACAAACAGATATTTGAAAACATATTCGAAAAAAAAAGCTCCCAAATTTTATGGCCAAAATGGGAGGACGTTTGGTTACCGGGATAAAGATACTAACCTCAGTATAAAATTTAAAATTATAATTATTTCGTATTTAGTTATTCTCGAATGATGCATTTTATAATTGAGGAGTTTAAAAAGTCCGACCGAATTCGATCAATTATTTTATATCTTATATTTTTTCAGTCAATAAACTGACCGCATCGATTGATTTTTAATACTAACCAAAAAAAAAAATTCAACCCAGCATTTTCGATGAGTTTTTGGTCGATAATCCTTTAATTCGACCGCGTTACTTGAGTGTGAAGGATATTGTAACGACTCGACCTGTCGTTTTTAGCATTTCCATCCCGTTCAGCTATTTGAAGTCTTGAGTAGCGTCGTTTTGTGTATTATGAATTGCGAAAGTGGTCAAGTTTTGTTTTCAGATGATTCAAAATTTAATTGAAAGAACAATCCATGTTTTGGAAGCTTAAGTTGAATAAATGGACTGGAGGGTAAAATATGTGTAAATGATCCTGGAATAGATTTTTGATGATTCCAGTAGTTCTGTATGGTAATTTTGGACTTAGGAGCGTTTCCGAAATTCTTTTTGGAAGTCTATAGTTAAATTAGGCTTGAAATGGCTAAAATAGAAATTTAAGTGTTGAAGTTTGACCGGGAAGTTGACATTTTGATATCGGGGTCGGAATATAGTTCTGAAAATTTTTATAGCTTCGTTATGTTATTTATGACTTGTGTGCAAAATTTGAGGTCAATCGGACTTGATTTGATAGGTTTTGGCATCGAATATAGAAGTTGGAAGTTCTTAGTTTCATTACGCTAGAATTGGGGTGTGATTCACGTTTTTAACATTGTTTGATGTAATTTTAGGCATTGACTAAGATTGTGTCATATTGTGGGACTTGTTAATATATTTGGTTGGGGTCCCATGAGGTTCAGATAAGTTTTGGAAGAGTTTTTGGAAGATTTTTATGTTTTGAGCATAAGCATGTAATGGTCCAAAGATCCATTTTTAGTTCTAGAAATCAAAATTTGATTTCGAGACTTCCAAAATTTTTATAATGAATTATAGGAGCGATCTGGAAAGTTTGGTCTAATTTCATCAAGTCGCGATTGGGTTTTTAACGCGAAACATGAGTTAATTGTTTAACGAGCGAAATGGGTATTATATTAAGCAAATGAGCTCCGAATTGAGTTTTGATTAAAGGACTAGGTTCGTATTATTATTTGTGACTCATAGGAACAAGAATCGTCGAATTCTGAGTTCATATGATGGAGTTAGAGCATTTTTAGTGAAATTAAAAACTGATGGTGTAACAAGATCTGGTGCGCACCTTTAGCGACTAGATTTGACACTTTTAGCGACAGTAATTGGACCTTTAGCGACCAGAATCGAGTTTTTAATGCTGTTCTGGTTTTTTATCCCATTTTGACATTTTTTGGCGAAAGAACACGACCTGGGATGATTTTTGAGCAAGAAATCATGGAAAATCTTGAGGTAAGTCACTTGTGGTCATTTCTACTTCATAATATTGAATTATCATCGAATAATCCAACTAGATTACATGTTTTTGAGGTGTAAATTGGGATTTGGACCAAGGGATTTAAAAATAAGATTTGAAGATTTGGAGGCTGAATTATTATCGAAATTTAGTAATTTTGGTATGGTTGGACTCGTGGTTGAATGGGTTGTCGGATTTTGTGAGTTTCGTCGGATTCCGAGTTGTGGATCCCACGGGAGATTTTTAGTTAAATTTCGGATTTTTGTGAAAAATTAATATTTTCACATGAAATTAATTTCTATAAATTGTATTGACTGAATCACATTATTTGTGTCTAGATTCGAGGCGTTCAGAGGCAGATTCGCGAGGCAAGGGCATAGCGGAGTAAAGAACTTCACCGTTTGAGATAAGTAACTCTTTTAAACTTAGTGCTGAGGGTATAAAACCCCGAATTATGTTCTATGTGATTTGTGTTGAGGTGACGCACATGCTAGGTGACGGGCGTGTGGGCGTGCACCACCCTGTGAATTATGACTCTGTTGTTTCCAGGGCACTGAATATTGGCCCTATTTTGTTGATATCTATGTCTTCACCATGTGATGAAATAAGTGAATTGTACATCATGCTAGATATCATGTTAAGATTTTATGCTGATATTGTTGGGACCCATAGTGGTCGTTTCTTGCCGTCGTCTTATTGAATTCATTGATATTTCGTACTCAGTCACATTCATGCATTCATATCATATCTTAGTATCAGTTGTTATTTATTGACACATTATATCATTATTGTCGGGCTAGTTTTATGACATTGTGAGCCCGTGAGTGAGACTGGAGAGATTGATGAGTGAGTGAGGCTTGGGGCCGGTTTGTGAGATATCGATACTATAGCACGTGAGTTGTCTGTGCAGATACTGATATTGATACTATAGCACGTGAGTTGTCCGTGCAGATACTGATATTGATACTATAGCACGTGAGTTGTTCATGCGGATTATATCGCTTGGGCTGAAGGATCCCTTCCAGGAGTCTGCACACCCCCAGTGAGTGCAGGTATATGATAGCACGTGAGTTGTCCGTGCGGATTATAGCGCTTGGGCTGAAGGAGCCCCTCCGGAGTCTGCACACACCCCCAGTGAGAGCAGTCAACTATAAATACATGGATCGGGTTGCACGCCGCAACCATCCTTAGGGCTATATATATAACTTCCAGTGAGCGCAGTCGACTATAAATACATGGATCGGGTTGCACGCCGCAACGAGCCTTAAGACTATATATATATATAGAGAGAGAGAGAGGGATCGGGTTGCATGCCGCAACGAGTATTACACAGTGCCGAGTGGGTGATCATTTATGTATATATACCCGGAGATGGATCTTCTCCATGAGGCTGGTTTGCCCTATTTTTCCTCGGTACTGGGTGACTTATAGTCAGTTATGTATATATTCTGGGATGGATCTTTCCTGGGCCGTATGGGTCATATAAAGTACCTAGTGGTTGATTATAATGAGTGAAAAGTGTGATATAGAGAGATTGAGTACTCTGAGAGTGTGAGTACATGATTAATCTCTGAGATACATGACATTAGCATGCATATATTACATACATGCATCGAGTCACATTTTCCTCATGTTGTACGCTATCACGTCATCTATGACATTTTTACACACATTAATACATGGTCTTAGAGAGGTATCTCACACTTGCTATTTGGAAAGAAAATGAAATATCTTATTTATTGTGGAAAGGATTTTTGAAAAAGGAAATACAGATTTTTAAAATATCGCATACTTTTCGACGTTTTTGGTAAAGAAATTGAGTTTTCACTGATATTCTTGAAGGCGGAACTATTTTGGAAAAACTGTGAAAAAGCGAAACACTTTATCTCTGAGTTACTTCCTTATTATATGCTTTACATTGTTATGAACTGTTATTGGATTTTGGTGTTGGACCCGACCTATGTTCCAGCTCGTCACTGATTTCAACCTAAGTTTAGGTTTGTTACTTATTGAGTATATGGGTTGGTTGTACTCATACTACATCTCCTGTACATTGCGTGCAGATTTCGGATGTCAACGGTGTTGTGTTTGATGAGAGCTGACTTGGAAGATGTATCGGCATCACTGTTGTAGCTACCTCTTGTACATGGTAGCCTTAGAATTTTAAACTCTGTTTATTTATTTGTTAAACATATGATGTACTTTCTTCATATCAATTTTGTAAACTCTATTCTTAGAAGCTCATGATTTGTACTACCAGTCCTTGGGAGGTGTATAAGAGATCATTTATTTTTTCTCAGTATGTTATATTTGTATTGGACTTAATGAGTTGGCTTACCTAGTGAGATGAGTTAGGTACCATCACGACTAATTGAATTTTGGATCGTGACAGATATATATATATATGATTGTCCTTCATTTAAGGAAAACAAGTTAAATATAAAAATAACTTGGCTAGACAAAAGAGAGGCTGTGGCCTTTGTACAATGAACACCACATTGCTTGTTGAGAACCAGGGCCCAGCATAAAAGCAAAGGTCTTAGGTCGGCTCTAGCGGAGCTAAAGCAAAGGTTTTAAGTCGGTGGCGAAAGAAGGATTTTTACCAAAAGAATTTAATAAATAAAAATATTAAGTGAATTCAAGACCTTATATATATATATATACTAGCCTCTATGTTCGTGTGTTGCACGAATATCTTGTGTCAAATATTATAAAATCCGTAAAAAAAATAGTATATTTTCAATCTCATAGTATATAAATAGAACTAACTATTATGGAATCACTTTGTTATATACAAAAAGTTACACAATTATATTTGCTCTAGCTTGAAATGGTTCATACAATCTTTAGTTAAAAAGCACACGACGGTCTTATTGTGCCTCATCGATTACTCCTGAGTAATAAACTAACAAGGCTACAACTACTTTGTCGATCCTTTTCCCCCATTATTCTCTAGCATAGTTATGAAAAAACCCTATAGGCGTAATACTTGATAGAGTTATTCGAATTTACTTCTACAAGATATCATAATTACTGATTCCTAGTTGACTTGGATTCTACTGTTTGACTTGGACTCTACAACTCATGAATACTTTTA